TCTTACTGTTGACTGCCATGGCTACGTCCGCTGCACTGATGGTTGAAGATGGAGTTATCAAGATGGGCGGGGCGGAGCTGGGGCTGACGGATTCACGTTAATATTTATCTAGTAGCCCGAGATCATGAACCCTAACGTCAAACCACCATAGCGTTTATTACGTGGGTGGTCAGCGATCGTGTCTTCAACGGGCAATTCCTCGAGCTTGCGTTTCAAACGAGTTTCGCGTGGGTCAATGGGATCAGACATGGTGGTTCAGAAGAGAATCGATGCTGTGCGGCGTCAATCTTCAAAATGGGTAACGGACCGTTTCACAGAGTCAGAGGCTGACATTCCTGATTGAGGTACAGTGGTTCGCCGTCAAGTCAGGCCACAAGGATGGCGGTCAACGGAGAAGTGTGTCAGAGAAGCAAAACGACGACCACCTCTCAAGACTGAGGGAAATTGAAACTCAAAGGGACGAACGAACTCGAACGAAAGGCAGATGCGTGGTCACGGTCGTGCTTGTTCTGTGTAGCTGTGCGAAAGACGACCTTTCCTTCCACCAGGAGAGATACCTTGCGACCTGGCACTTATGGGTCCTCCTACTTATTGTTGTCAGGTGAATGTTGTCTTTGTTCGGCCAGCTTCTAGTCTCGAAGTTCCCTCACGAACCCCCGTCGTCGAATGGAGTTTCATGACGAGTCATCCAAAGTTACCTTTCTGGGTCGTTCAACTACTGTCGACATCGCCTGGAGACCCGACCTCGCTGTGATCAAAATTCAACCCGATGACCGCTTCCGCCAACGTACCGATAGAGAGAGCGGGGAGCTGTTGAGATTCAAAGGATGCGTTACCCGGGCTTCATTGCCAGCTCTGAGTGAGTTCCTCCTCCCGTTAGATTTGCTCCCCTTTCTGCCTAAGCTCGTTTACCCTTCTGTCATGAAACCATACCCCCTCTCTTCTTTCGTCTGCCCACGTTACTCTAATGCGAAGACAATTCTATGACAGTTTCGGTCCTCTTGATTTCGTTTACGAGTGCCATGCTTGTAAAGCGCACAGCGCACAAGACCGCAAACCACAGATTTCTACTGGTACGACAACTGAAATCTTGAAATCGGGAAGTTACTGGATGCTTACGCTATCAACAGGACTGTTTACGGATCCTTGGAGTCTGGACTCCCACCCGGCAACGCTCGAAGCTATTTTGCATAACACGGGGGAGACTTCGCTAGGTGAAGTAAATCGTCAGTATTTCTTTCCTACGAAGTCGACAACGCCTTCTCTAAACAGCCTTTCCACTGCAGATGTGGCGGGCGTTTGCCCAGCTTGACGACGGTAATACCCTCTCGAAAAGCTCCACACGGCATGCTAGGTTACTGCCGTCCACCTGATCATAAGCGCAAGCTTCAGTCGGAAAGCTTCGGAGAGCTGGAGATTGGGGATAACGGCCATATCTCCTTTGGTAAGCTATCGCCCTTGCGTTATTTATTCATTCGTACTCTCATTCCTCCCTCGATCTCTGGATGCCTTTTCACCTCGCATATATTCGATCTTTCGCTTGCTAACTGCCCCCCTTCGTTACTCAGGTCCTGGTTATATAACACCAACGCAAGCCCCACTTCGATGATCCTACCGTCTTTCCTAGGTCCACCATGACCCCCACGACCCGGCAACTGCATCCCGTCGTGCATCGACTCATGAAGGAAATTTCGTTTAATCCTTCTAACGAACCCGCCTCCATACCAAGCCCGCTCATCCAACAACAACTCTTTGCCATTGGCCGTAGGCAGACCTCTCACACGCATCAATCGTCTCATCGGTTGGGGCCACCTGCTCCGCTATCCTGTCATTCTCCTCTGCCAAAGCTCACCCAGCGCTCAGATCTTCTCGGTAACCTCATTCCCGACGCTGTATTCGTCGTTACGTACATGGTATACGTACCACCCAGTGGCCCACTCTCTGCCTTTACCACAAGAATTCGTTGTCTCTGGGCTCAACGTTCACACAGTGTAGATTGTCCGTCTTGTGTATCCATCCGCAGCTCGTCGCCACCATGCTACCGTAACGTCACACATACGCATCGCTGATTGGGCTCTTGTAAGTTTGGATTAGGCGCGGCCGACGACGATGGTTATTGACACCTGCCTTCTTTTCCAATAGTTCTACGGCCAATAAGGAACTACTGAGGGCAAAGGCCTAGGGCGAGAAACACCAAACTCATTAGGGTCCTCGTCTCTTCTCGCGTGGACACCGACCTCTATGGCGGATGGGGGGCGTGGCTATTGCACATAGGTCAGTGATACTTGACTGCTTCGCATGTGTCGGGTTAGTACTCACAGCAAGCGTGTATAGCTTTGTTTGGGGTGCGTATGTATGCTGTGCTTTTGCCCCAGGGGAAGGAGGGAGAGGGCTCCAAGCTTCAGTCTCTGTTCAGCCGATCGAAAGAACACCCTCAAGCTTGAACGTCGGCAAAGTCGAGACGTTTGATTATATTGCTTACAATGGGAATCGTAACATTACAACCCTGACTCTGTAGCTTGACCAATTCGTGTTGGGATACTACCCATGTCAATGTTATCTCCCAAAACATGAACGGCCACTCGTTAACTTTCTACTTTCACAAGTTTCACAACGACGATGACTGGTATCAAGTAAAAACTGGGTAGGCATTCGGCAAATGGTACACTTATTTGAGGAATGTCGGACGATTACATTGCACTACCTCTCAATTTACACACGAGCACAGGCTGTTGTAAATGTAAGAAGTCACGACTACTTTTCTTTTGCCTGCAGAATTCACAGCAAAGGACGCAAACATGACAGTTCTGGCGTTGAAGATGCCAAGGGCCGGGAATGCGGGATACCGCGAGAGGTGCAGGCGAAGAACTGGGCTTACGGTCGTACAGCGCTAGCGTGGCTGACTAAAAGTGATTGGAAGGGGTGTATATGCGACCTACGTCGGTGTCATGGAGCAGGGATGGGTAGAGGTAGGTGTTAGGAGATCTCGAAGCGCGGAGAGAAGATTGCGAGTATGAAGTTTGTGAGCAGCAGCTCCGCTCCCATTCTGCCTTTGAGCAACGAACGCAAGTGGGCTGGTAAATCCACATTTGAGGGGGGCTACAACTCGCTCATACGAGCAGATAGTCCCCTATGCAACTCATGATCCTCAGTCAACGTATGATCGGTGATCGTTTGCAAGGTGATTGTAGACGTTGGCTCAAATCCCTCCGGGTTGGCAGTCTCGTTGACTTGCAAGCGAGCGGATTCCTTGATTGTGGAGTCTACGCTCGTATAGGAAGAGTTAAATTGTAAGGCATGTGTCGTCGACGTTCTGGGTCCAGGAGGGAGGGAGCCTATGCAGAAGCTGTCCGTCAGGATTTTCCAAATCCACCGATGTGCATCGATCCAGCGCCGCACTCTGAGGTTGTTAAAACAGCGATTCGTTGAAGTCCGAAGACAAGCGTTGAACGTTGAGCTTTTAGCTAGTGCTGCGAGTCGGTGACTAGATACGCGGACGTCGACTTCGCTTGGCCCGCCGACGCGGGAAGCTAGAGTGGAAACAAGGTTAGATCCCAGGAGAGGCGAAGAGAAATGACGAACTCACCCCAATATGATCTCCAGTCGCATCTCACCGGGAGCGACGCATTCACGCTGACGTGCGTCCTCACTGGGCACGAAGAACACTGCAATGATAGATCAGCCGTTTGTGGTTATGACTATGGGATGTAAACTCACCGATAACCCAACGTCATGCCATCGACGAAATCCATCAAGTGGTCCAATCGATCAGTCATGCTCGGCTTTTCCTTTGGTATTCTTGGAGTCATTGAGTATGTTGTTGTTTTACGACCTCCCGAATGAACGCTAACCAAAGTCGGACCAATTGGCATACCCTACAAGCGGAGAGAGTAAATTGTGAGCCTCCGAGAGCAGAAACGACAAAGTTCTAATAAGATAGGTGCATGAGTGAGGAAAGAAAGGGAAAACCAAGAAGACGGACCAAAGGAGGGTGAAGAGACCCGTTGCGAGCGTGAATGGCCTAGTATAACAGGCAACAGTATCTCGCGTTTCAAGAATCCGGAGGCTCTTCGTCATTGTTGATAAGCGTGGTCATTTTGTCAAAGGGACGGTGTTTGTTCGTATCATCGAGGAACGATTCGAGAGACCTACCATGTATACAAAGATTTGTGAATGCCCGTCCTTCATTCCCTGCACAAACCGAAAGGGGAGGAGGGGGCTAGTCGAGTCATCCATCGATCACCAACGGAGGTGAAGGTAGCGGCTGCAGGGAATGGAAGTTGAATATGAATACTGTAAGATCGAAGAACGAGGGAAGTGAATGCTTACCCCAGCTGAACGGACGAGACAGAGCGTGGCGGCTCTTCAAGAAAGGCGCCACCAACGAGGACAACCATCGCTCTGAATCGCCAACCCCAAACCGTTTCCCTCCTGCTATCCTCCATCCAAGCAAGAACGGGGTAAGCGCATACGGCGGGATTCTGCGCTGGGCTGTATGTGGCTCCATGCGCTCAGAGTTCGACCGTCAAGTGCTTTCTTTCATGGTTTGAGTGGACTTTACGGATCTTGTGCAGCAGCAGCCCAGAGTTGGTCATGGGTAGGAGAAGGGGAAGGGAAGGTCGGAGAGAGGTGTGAGCCCTTGCCTGTCTTGTTGGGATGAAATCGAGGAGGGCATGACGGATGAGAACGGGGTGTACGTTGCTATGTAGGTCTGTATGCCGGTGTCAGCAACGTCTTTTGGAAAAAAAGAGAGGGGAGAAACAAAGTACGTACTTGTACTTCATCAGAGCCTAACACACATGCTATTCCTGCCCTTCCATCGTGACGTTCCCTCGAGATGCACTGTGTCTTCTCGGTTTCACGGATGAACCACTACGAGGAAGAGGGCACGATGACGATAGACGGGGGAAGTTTAGAACTTTTCTTGTTTGGTACTTGGTACACGTAGGCGACGCGGCGGCTGGAGATGGATTTGTTTATGAAATTTAGAGCGGCATGCCATTGACGATCGGAGAAGATGCGATAACTTCCGTGAAGGTGCGGCCTGCCATGAATTCCGTTTGGAAAGCTGGGAAAGAAGTGACGTCGTTATCTACAGAAGGATCGTTAGTGAATCATGGGACGACAACTATGTGTGGAAGATTGACCTACGCAACGACCGAAGCGCATAGCGGGCATTTGAGGACAGAAGCTCACTAAGAGGTAAGAGGTACGGCTGCCGAAGAAGTGGCATTAATTTCTGTAGCTCGTTTTATGGAGGGTTTTGACACAAGAATGCCCTCAGGGGAAGCGAAAAGGAATGTCGTGAGCAAGGTTGTGAGCAATACGAGCAATGGGATTTTGAAATTTGATGGGATGATTCAAACTCACGCCGCCTTCGTTCCCTTTGGTATGTAAGTTATTGCCTTTGCCTGTGGATGATTTTTCACCTCGCATATATTCGGTATTTGGCTAACCACCCATTCTTACTCAGGTCCTAGTTTCATAACACCGACGAAAGCCCCACTTCGACGTGGCATCTTGCATCCCTTCGTGTATGCACTCACAAGGAGATATCAGCATAATTTGACCTTTCAACGATCTTGCCTCCATACCAAGCTCGTTCATCCAACATCAACTCTTCGCCGCAGACCTCTCACATGCATCGATGATCTCATCGGTTTGGCCCATCTATTCCGCTAATCGGTCATTCTCACCTGCCAAAGTTCGCTCAGTATTCAAATATTCAGAGCTTCTCGGTTACCTCGATTCCGACGCTCTGCGTGTCGTGACAGACATGGATACCACCCAATGGCCTTACTCTCTGCCTGTAATACCAGGCTGTCCCAACGTCACACATACGGTCATTGAATATTGAAGGCTCCTCGGCGCTTCCCGCGCGGACACCGACTTCTATGGAGTGAGGGACGTGGCTATTGCGTCACTATTGTAAGTTTCCGAGATTCTAAAATGACTTGTACTGATCAATCATCCTTCTCTTAGCCTCCTAGAGGAGGAAGACCACCATCACCCTGTCCACCCTCTCCACTCTTAAACGCGTTCTTTCCAAACAGTTCGATTCAGACTCTTTTTCTGACAACGGCTCAGACGACGACGGCGACCGAGGGAAATGGCAGCAACGTTCCCCATCACCCGCCGCCTCAAGCGTCTACCACCTCGCAGCTAGTTTCGTCCAAAGAATGGACACGTTCGTAGGGGGCGTGGCACCGCGATCACCTGTGCCAAATGACGCAGAGCTAGGAGCTGACGCAGAGAGGAAACGCGACTGTAGTCGTAGAGTGGCAGAATGTATACTCACGCTGCGGGAGGCTCAGCAGAGGAAACTCGTTGAAGACCGCGTGCTGTCTATGCTGGAGAGCTCAAAGTCGCTCCTTCCACCGCCCTCCAGGTGTCAAACTTTGCCTAACCCACCATTCTCGTCTAACTCGCAGAAACAGTCGGGTGGCGCTACAAATTGATGGTCTGCTACGAAGAGTAGGTTTACGCCTACGAAAGACCCTCCAACGCCTGCTCAGAAAACCATATTGGACACAAAGACGAGGGATAAGGATAACAAGAAGAACGCCAAAGGCAAGGGGACAAAGTGAAAGAGAAGGAATGGTCTCCAAACGCCTTAAGTTCACCGATCCAGCACTCGTCAACCTCAACATCCCAACAACACCCGTTCGACGCGTCCCCGTACCTCCTCCTTCCTCCCCGTCCTCGCCTACCCCGTCCTCGCCTACCCCTTCTCGTCCGAGTCTCTCGAATACGCCACCCAACTTGACACCTTCTCCCATGCATACAACCGAAACCCTGCCTTCTTTCCCTTCTCGCGAGGCTCCACCTTTGTATGCGTAATTCACATCCCAAGGAACGCTAGACGTACCGGGTACACTCCTCATAATAGCCAAGCGCTTCAAGAAGCTCGAGAAATGGACCGTGGGACACGTTTGGGCTTTGGAAGGTCGGATGAATGATGCTGAGAGGTGGCTAGTTGACAAAGAAGCGGAGAATAAAGGAAAAGGACAAGGACAAGGAGGACAAGGAATCCAAATCCGGGTCTCTAAGACACGCCGGTTCAACGGACAACGTGAAATATGAAGTTGTCAAACTCCAAGGCCGCTTAGGCGAACTAAGTCGGGAGATGGCGAACATGGCGACGGCGCCTAAAAATCTTTTTCTGCCGCTGTATCAATGTTGGTCGCACCACAAACTACTTCCTCCATCATCACGCACTGGCATCCAACCTCTCCCGTTGTAACACACTGGACAGGATCATCGTCAGGACCTAGCATGCCCATCCACTATCCTAGGTTATCTAGTACAACTGCAAGAGAATCTACGAGTCCCCCAATGACTTCGAAGAGGCGAGAGTCGGGCATGAGGTTTCCGTACCCTGCGGGAGATCATTCTTCTCTACCAGATACGTTCTCCCCCAGTATTTCTCCCCCTTCGTCAATTAGTTCCGCTATGAGGCCTCTGTCTACGGCCATTTCGGGGCCATCCCTCCATTCATCCTCAGTACACTACCGGGTGCTTCGTATTCTACGACCTCACTTTCCTCACTGGCTTCGGTTACGGGTAGGCTGCCGTCCCCGCCTGTTCAACCCAAGTTTGTCCCTGCTTCTGCTTCTGCCAGTCAAACGGCCAGCCCAACGCCCGCACCAGCGAAAGGACGAGGAGCACAACAAGGTTTGCCACCCCCGAAATCAGCTGCTGGGAAAAGGCAAATGAGTGTAAGCCCCACGCCAAGCAAACGGTACACCGTTGCGCTTGGAGGACCGATAACTGCGCCGCCGGATGAAGATGGATTTTCTTCGAACGCTGCTTCTTTGTTCTATGCCACCGCCGCTAATACCGCCGCCAATACCAATGCAAATATCAATAACCATACAAATCCACTTGCTACTGCTCCTTTATTGAAAAGGGTAGGCACGCCACGGTCCTACTCCCGTGTCATCGGGGGTTCGTTTTCCTTTTCTCCCGTGCCAGGGGACGATGACAAGAAGGAGGAGGAAGGAGCGGGAGAGTTCGGAGAAGGTGAAGAGACCATCGGCAAGTCGTCTGGTATCAAGCTCAGGAACGCGAATGGGAGTCTGTCTTCCACCACGTCAAACTCAATGTCGCCTGGTGGACCTGGGGGTGGTGATTACAAGCCCACAGCCACCACGTCACCATCGCCGTCCACTCGTCGGATCAGTATGGGTACGCTAGCCTCCCTCCTCAGACTCAGGCTCCTACCATGGAGACTACTGTGCCTTATCGGGAAGCTGGCCACCTTAACTCATTGTCCTAGTTAAGGACTGAGTTTTGAACTATTTGCCATTTTTTTACATTTTCCGTTAGGTGTACTTCTCATCTTAATGACTACGTATATTTTAGAATTTTAAATTGAAATTTGACTTGGTGGTGTTTTTTTGCGTAAAAAGACCATAAACACGGCCCTGACTGGGAAGCTGGCCACATCCGGTTTGTATTCAAATCGTGTTCGGCTCCTTACGTTTCGTGACAAATACCAAATAGAATAACTCCAGAGTAGCAATCCAGCAGCAATATGCCTGTATCGTGATGGATAATGGTCCTCTCAGAACAGAAATTTGCGTAGCTATTTAGAACTATATATGTATAATTATCGAGAAGTTTCGTAATTTTTGGGTGTGTTCTGACTGACCTTTTCTTTCAAACATTCCTGTGCAAGTAATGTTGGACTTTGGGAAGTCCTGGTTGATAGTGCCAGGAGATTGGGGAATAAAAATCAGAAAAAAATAGAGTATAAAAGATGCATTGAATTTAATAACTATTCCCTCAAAAGGTTAGAGTTGGTAATGATTTCTGCAAAAGATCTCTATGATTACTTTCCAGAGGCAACATTTATTATTTAAGAATGTACCCCTTGATGACACTGAAGTTCCAGTCCAATCTCAATTCAAAAATATTTTAAAAAAAGGCTACTAGCTGCTTTACTCTACTTGAGTTTTGACTGTGCAAAAATTTGGGTCAAGGACCTATAATTCTGCACATGCAAAGCTGGCCATGTTGAGGCAGCATCGTGTGAACATGGTAAAAGTGCTATGGTACCTGAATATGAGGAATCATTTGTTCATGGGGTTGATTTAAGGACAATTTTCATTTTTTAGATATTCTCACTCAATTGACCTATTCTCAAGCTTTCCAATGATATAATTTTTTTGATATTTTGTGCAGCACAAACAGCTGCAGAAAATCAGTGGCCAGCTTCCTGATTACATACAGTACTGCACCATTAAAGCCAAAGTTGAGGTCGCAGTCTACTGAGCAACTTTCCTCTACCAGCTCCATTGGGACGGGAGATGGAATGATAAGCGGTGGTCTTGGAGGAGGGGGGACCAAGTTCGTGGACTCTTTGTTATTGAGGAGCCACCAGCAAAGTCAAGAGGGGTTACAGGTGAAGATGCCGATGCCAAAGGCAGTGGGGAAGGTCCTGATTGGGCGGTTGGTTGCATTTTTTGATGGGGAGAAAGGGGGGAAGATGTAGGCTGGGTGGGTGGGAGAAGGTTTTTTGTTTGTTTGGAAGCAGGATGGATGGATGAATGCCTGGGGTGAAGGAAGGGATGGAAGAAGGAGAGAGCCTAATGGGTATGGATCTGAAGTGACTGATATGTACCTCTGACTTGCTTTACTTATACCCTCCCAATGATATGAGAGTACTGATGCTTGGTTTTTTTATATTACCTCAGTTTTTTTATTACTTGAATGCCTTTTTTTGTAGATCATATCTGTGTCTTGATGATGTGTTGTATTTCAAGTTGGTGATACACACCATTCAAAAGTCAAGCCAAAAAAAAGAAAAACAAAGATTGGGGCTGTCCCCCTTGGAGTTGGTGGTTAAACATACTGGTACCATGCACTTTCTCTGACTGGCTTTACTTATATATAGCCCTCCAATATTATAACAGTGCTGATGCTTGGGTTTAATGTGAGGACTTTTCACTCACTAGAAAACAAAACATTACACTCTTCTGCAAGCTGCATCCAATTATTTCCAATATCAGATTTCAAAATGTAATACAAGGGGGGTCCAGGATTTTTGATAACCATATGGGGTTGAATTTTTTTCTAAGGCCTTGATGACTGGACTAACACTTGAGACAGTGACAAATATGTAGGGCTACATACAGTTGAGTGCAAAAAGAATGAAGGTTGGTTCATTTTTCTGGTTCTTTCTAAGAATCTATTGTACCTCAAATGTATTTGTGTATTCTTTTACATTATGTAGTTGTGTTACACTTCCCTTGGTATGGACTAATTTCAGTGAAAGCTGGAGCCTTGAGAAGGTTTTTATTCTGGAGGCCATTTTTGGCATCTGAAAAAAAAAAATTGTGCTAACTGGAGAGGTAGCCAGAACATACCTCTGGTCAACCTGAATGAGCCTATCAAAGAATTAGTCAAAAATACTAAGCAATTAGGTCTGTAGAGGCTTTGGAAAATGGCTTGTTTTGTCTAAAACAGGACAAAAATGACCAAAATGGCACAAAATGACCATTTTCTGCAGGCTCTACAAGCATAACCGCTCAGTATTTTTAACTAATTCTTTGGTAGGCTCATTCAGGTTGACCAGAGGTATGTTCTGGCTACCTCTCCAGTTAGTGCATATTTTTTTTTTCAGATGCCAGAAATGGCCTCCAGAATAAAAACCTTCTCAAGGCTCCAGCTTTCACTGAAATTAGTCCATACCAAGGGAAGTGTAACACAACTACATAATGTAAAAGAATACACAAATACATTTGAGGTACAATAGATTCTTAGAAAGAACCAGAAAAATGAACCAACCTTCATTCTTTTTGCACTCAACTGTATGTGTAAATCAAAGGCACTCAAAACTTTGGAATAGCCTGGAATCCTTGTTTTCATGAAATATTTGCTCTCAATTTCTATGTATGGTGACAGAATTGTATATTCATCATATTGTGTCAAACAAACTTATAATAAAAAAAGCAATCAGTTCCAAAATAAGCATGAACCATATAATTGTCTCATAGATTCTAATTCTTATTTAGAATAATTTTTTGCTTTGGCCCAGGAAGTGTAACATACTCTAAATAATAATTATCTATGAGAGAATTTTATGGTTCATGGAACAGATTGCTTGTTTTATTATAAGTTTGTTTGAAAGCATATGACGAATGTACAAATCTGTCACCATACATAGAAACAAGCCTAAGACCTGCACCTATGGCACGGCGCTCGCTGGCGCTTGGCTGTTCCTTCACCATGGGTCACGGCTCGCCAGGGGCAAGCCCCCTGGACCCCCCTGTACACATCTTCAATCCCAGTTCCAGTACATGTTTCATCCCAATCCCCATGTACATATTTTATTCTAATCTTTATATGTTGGTGTAAATTACTGGTACATCTACATATATGATAAATTTTGCATCACAGTGGCAATTTTTCTGATATCTGCATGTGCCAAGTCCACAGTGCAGTGTGTTGGGCCCCAAACCCTGCTTCCACATAGCCAATAACTTGGCTGCTCCTACAACATGGGTCATAGCATGCTGGGGGCAGGCACTCTAACTCCAGTTTTTTGACATACCATCTTGCAAATTCAAATTGGTTCTGACTACCCATTAAACTGAGTGTTGAATATTTATTACATATCTTTATAAATGGTACTACTTCCAATTTAACATCTCTTACTGCTCTACCATGCCCCAATGTTTCTCATATTTTTGTACTGCGAACCCTCTCTTGTCATGCTATAAGACACCAACACATACAATAAATATATTTCTAACATGACCTTCCCTTACCTCCTCAGCTTTCCCAAAATCCTATTGGGCCAGAAACTATAGACTTCTAGTAGTTTTGAGAAATTAGATTATTTCTTCCTGGGTTTCTCGTCTCCATGGAATAAATTGACTAAATCTTTACTTATATTTGTGGAAATTCCTATGTCCTCTCCCAAATCAGCTCCCTAAGTCCCCATTTTATCTGGAAGATTTTTAACTCTCTGATTTATACATTTTATTAAATCTATATAACTCCAGGCCTGTTGAGAATCTTCAATAATAAAACTATGAGCAACTTACTGAGTTACAAAAATACTAATCTTTGAATTTCCAATCACATATTGAATTAGATAGAATACTTCAATATATAGCTTTGAGAGGTGCACATATCCACATTGGCATTACACTTCCCCAATGAAGAGCTGGGGTGAAGGGATAAAATTCTGACATAAAACAACAAACCCATCCAACATACTCTCAGATGTGATAATAAGCCTCCAAAGATTATAGGCAGGGATGTTGAGAGTAACATTCCCAATCTCTCCCTGGAGTGGATTGAAATTAAATATTGCACATGCAAGAGGGGAAGAAAACAGAAACCCAAACATGATGATGGATAGATTACGGAACTAAGTGATTAGATCAACCAACTATAAAATTGTGATAGGTGACCCACCCAATGATAAATATTTTCTGACTGTAGAGCAGAGCTGATAGATTCAACCACAAAGAGCAGGCAATGTAAGAAAGTTTGTACAGAAATAGAATTTACACCTCTATGTATGTGCCTACAAACTGGCCTCTCAAGCAAGAGAGCATTTTAAAATATGTATAAAATACAGAGAAATATTTACCCGGAGTTGAAGAGGGTAGATGAGGTCAAGCTCAATATAAAGATGTGAGGTTCAGAGTGATTATATAAGATTTGTCATTGCTGACTCAGCTGAGTCAGCCTTACTCAGCCATCAAAAGGCTAAAAACATTGTGCCATTCTATATAGATTGGGAGCAAATATTTCATGGAAACAAGGATTCTAGGCTATTCCAAATTTTTGAGTGCCTATAATTACACATATGTAGCATATTACAGTGCTTTGCATAATGCTTTGCAGCATGAATTTTTTGAAATTGTATTTGGTTGTGCTTGAACTGGACCCAAGCTGTCACAACCACCCCATTTAGCCTACCTAGCACCCAATTTCTTTTATGCAGGATTGTTCTCCCAAGGCAGGGCACCCTTGCACACACAGCCAGAGATTTTAGATGCCACACTGACTGAATAAAATTTCTCTTGAAACCTTTCATGAAAGGATCCTGTCTGGAATGGGCCTGAGTGTGACAACTTGGGTCCAGTTCAAACACAACCAAATACAATTTCAAAAAATTTGTGCTGCAAAGCACTGTACTTGCTGTCTCAAGTGTAACTAAAGGACATATCACTTGACATCTTATTAGTTGTGTCATATATTTTGGTGCATAATCTTATCTTTCCATTTAACATACTGGTTCTTTGATCTCTGGTTCAAAGAGCTTGATGATTTGGACTGATTCAGACTGTTTCCAGGCTGTGTGGAGTGAAAAATATAGGAGGTCAAATTTCTTTTTGAGTGCCTGTCAGAAAGATTAACTAACCATCCCTATATGGC